AAGGTCCCTGCGCCTGGTCGGAGCTGCGTGCGGACTCGGAAAAGCTCCACTTTATTTCCTAATAAAAAATAAATAAACCAAATAAACCTCCGGTCCGGGAGTGCGGGGGGAGATCTGTGGATCATCCCTTCCTCCGTGGTCGAGGGGGCTCTTTGCGCTCCCATCCGCGCCCTGCAGAAGAAGCGCCCTCGCCACCAAGGGAGACGGAGCTGGAAAAAAACACGTCAAGGGAGAGCAAAAATAATACCGAAATTCCCTTCGCCGAAAACCCTGCAGCCGAAAAAAAAAGAAAAAAAAGGGGGGGGGGGGGGGAAAAAAAAAAAAAAAAAAAAAAAAAAAAAAAAAGAAGCTGGCAACGAAGCTGTCATGTAAATAAGCAGCCGACAGACGATGCATCATCCAAGGGCTGCTCTTTCATATTTACTCTTTTGAAGGTTAGGCAGGGCAGAGGTAACAAACTTTGAACGATTTTCTCCTCCCCTTTTCCATCCTTTTCCCTACCTGGTTTTATGTGGTTTCTGGATTAATCTAGTGTGCAGCAGAAGCGAGCTTTACCCGGCTAAAATATAGGATTAGGACTATTTCTAGAAGAAAGAGGATAGTGTGAACTGTCTTTAGGCTGCAATAGTCTAAAGCAGAATTACAGCTTGTAAAATAGGTCTCCATCAGTTTCCCAGGAGACGAGTTAAGCCCTACTTGGGTGTTCCAGCTCTTTTTAGAACCAGCAATAATTAGACTCATCTCACTCCCAAGTTGTCCTTCCCCCCCCCCCCCCTTTTTTTTTAAGATCACCAATAAATGCATTTTTGCATACAATTATATCGGCGGCTGCGGGGCAGGGCAAAGCTGGTAATTGCCCTCACTTCTTTTATAGTTGAAAGGAGAAACATTTGGGGAAAGTTTTGCCAGAAGCAGCGCGCTGCGAAGCGGCGACCTGTTCTTTTGCCAACTTGGAAGTGTGACTTTCTTATCAAACTGCTGGATATGGCATCTTCTTTGTGCTTTGATGTCTGCTGTCTTTTGAGACTATCTCTGCATGTCATTAGGGAGCCGAACAATTAAAGAAGCGCCTTTTTCCACCCTCC